TTTGGAAACGGAGCTGGCTTGGTTTCAGCTAGGTACACCGCTTCGCTGATGAAGCGATGTGCCCCCCGTGCCGAACGCAGACATCTTCGCAAATATATGGTCAATGTGCTTGCCCGTAGTTCTGCGAACGCCGATTTTCGCTGGCAACGTGCTCTTGATCGGATTGTAGAAATGTTGCAAGATTTCCGGCGTAAATGCATGATCGTGCTTGGTCTTTCGAATTCAGATGCAGGAGTGCCGTATATGCAAGAGTCTATCACATGATATGCTGTTCCTCGCCATCTCTAGCTCTGTCTGTGCTCGCTTTGACTGTGCCTTCTCTGCGTTTAATTTCCTCCGCGCTCACAAGAGATGGGGACAAGCGACACTCTCCCCTTTTTTCCGCGAGGGCTCGGGCCATTGCGACGAAGAGGAAGGCGGCGCGAGCTCTTTTAAATCGACCAGTCCACTGAGGAACGAGTGGATCATCATCATCATCATCATCATCATCATCATCATTGTCATCACCATCATTCTCGTCATCCTCAGCATCAACATCATCAGCATCATCACGCCGCCTCATCCCCCTCCTCCTCCGCATCGTCATCATCATCATCATCATGTATTCTCCTCCTCCACATCATCATCATCATCATCATAATCGCCATCGTCATGGTCGCCCTTCATCCTCGTCCTCTGCCTCGTCGCCACCGTCATCATCATCATCATCATCATCATCATCCCTTCTCGCCATCGCCTTCGCCTTCGTCATCATCACCATCATCATCGTCATCATCATCGTCATCATCGTCATCATAATCCTAATCGTCATCACCGTCGTCATCCTCACCATCATCATCGTCTCTCCTCCTCCTCCTCCTCCTCCTCCCCCTCCGCCACTTCGCTTCCCAGGTCAGGATTGAAGGGGGACGAGAAGGGATAAGTAGTGGAAAGGAGGGGGCCGGTACAATGAGAAATAATAAGAAGCCTCCACAATGAACATCAATAAGAACACCCTACACTCAAAAACAATATGAAATCCATACAATCAAAAACAATAAGAAACCCATACACTCAAAAACAATAAGAAGCCCATACAATCAGAAACAATCAGAAACCTGTAAATCAAAAACAATAAGAAAACCATACAATGAAAAACAATAACAAATCCATACAATCAAAAACAATCAGAAACCGGTACACTCAAAAACAATAACAAATCCATACAATCAAAAACAATAAGAAGTCCCTACGATCAAAAACAAGAAGAAATCCGTACACTCAAACACAATAAGACACCCATACAATCAAACACAATCAGATAACGTCTTGGGTCCGCGAGCCCTGTGAGGGGAAAGGAAAAACAAACAAACACTTGTGAGGGTGCCAAAAAACGAAAAAAAAACAATGGTTTTCGTACCTTCAGGCTGCCTGGGCGGATCTGGGCTGGAGGGGCCTGGAGGAAGCCCGAAAACACGAAAACCATTGATTTGTTTTGGGTTTTTGGTACCCTCACAGGTTTTTTTTTGGGTACCCTCACAGTGTTCGTGGACCCAAGACGTTGTCTGATTGTTTTTGAGTGTATGGATCTGTTATTGTTTTTGGTTGTACGGATTTGTTATTGTTTTTGATTGCCTGGATGTGTTATTGCTTTTGATCGTATGGGTTTCTTATTGTTTTTGATTGTTTGATTTTCTGATTGTTTTTGATTGTATGGATTTCTTATTGTTTTTGAGTGTATGGATTTGTTATTGTTTTTGATTGCATGCGTTTCTTATTGTGTTTGATTGTATGGGTTTCTGATTGTTTTTTGATTGTATGGATTTCTTATTGTTTTGGATTGTATGGGTTTGTTATTGTTTTGATTGTACGGATGTCTTACTGTTATGATTGTGCGGAAAAGAACGGAAATGTGGAGGAGGAGGAGGATGAATACGAGAAGGAACATGCGGAGACTCGGAGGGGGAGGAACAATATTATGATGGTGATGCTGATGGTGATGATGATGATGATGGTGGTGATGATGATGATGATGATGCTGATGATGATGATGATGATGATGATGATGATGACGATGAGAAACACCTCACGCCACATACACTTAAATCTCACCCTTACCCCCCCTCCCCTCCCCTCCTCGCTTTGGGTTCTCATCCTCACCCCTCCTCCTCGTTTTTGGTTATCATCCTCTCCCCCCCTCTCCTACAGTTCGTTTCCTGAGGATTGATAGAATTTCCTTCTCTTCTCTCCCTCTCCTCTACTCTCTTCCTTTTCCCCCCGTATTCCATTATCTGAAGTGCGTTCGCCCTTTGCCGCCGGCCTCCCCACTCTGATTGCTCGCACAGCCGCGCGTGGGTGGTAGGTTCGTTGGTTTTCTTGTCGGTTGGTTCGCCGGCATCTCGGCCAATTGCGGCCAATTTTGTTGTCTAAGCGACGATTGATATGGCCTGTTTGCTGGCTAGCTGGTTGCGTGCATCCGCAACACTCAAAAAGGTGTTGTGGCCTTGGTTGCGCGCTCCCGTTGAACAATTGCCGAGGGTTCGAGGTGTCGGGGGCGCGCGCCCGTAGCTGCTTCTCCATGGTGAATCGTGGCCCCGAGCCCCGAGCCGAGGACTCTGGAAATGAAGATACAGACAATGAGAGTTTCTCGGCAACGCGCAGAGGGGGGTAGGGGGAGGGGGGAAGGCTTCTTAGAAGCACCCGCGCGGGCCTTCTCTTTAGACGTAAGGCCGAGGCCTTCTAAGAAGCAGGGTGTATCTAAGAAGCCTTCCCCCCTCCCCCTACCCCCCTCTGCGCGCCGCCAAGTTTCAATGCTCTGGAGACGGGTGGCGCGTTTGGGCGACCTCTGTGGAGTGGGTTTGTGGCCTCCAGAGCGCCAGCGCGTAGCAATTTGCAACGGGGTTGCGGCCTCTTCCAGGTCGCAACGCTGTGCAGCAGGAGTGTACATCCGTGGTGGCTTCGGCAGCGCGAGCCTGGCATAGTTTCAAAGGGCTTGTGGCTTGGAGAACGCGAGGATGGCGCTGTGTACTACGGGCTGGTTTCGGGAGCGCCAAGGCGTAGCATTTGACGAGACATTCTGGATTCGGGGGCGCAAGCGCGACGTAATTCACATGGCGTTGTGGCCCCGGGAGCGCGAGCCTGGCGTGGTCCACGAAGGATTGTGGGTTTGGGGGGCGCGAGTCGAGCGTAATACAGGGGATTGTTGCCTCGGGGTCGCGAGCACGCTGTACTTTGTTAGGGGATGGCGCCTCGTGGGCGCGTGCTGGGCGCAATTCTCACAGGATTCTTGGCTGGGAAGCGCGAGCATGGCTCACGTCAGCAGGGGTTGTGGCGTTTGGAGCGCGAGATTGGTGCACATTACGATGGATGTTTTGCCTCGGGCCGAGAAGCCATGAGAAACTGGCGTAACGGATGAGGGATTGGTGTTTGGGGAGCGCGGGTATGAAATATTCTATGTGTGCCAGGGCACCCCAAGGACATACATTCCGAGAGATCCTATCCTGGCGCGGTTAGCGAGACCTTCTCGGGCCCCCCTTCCTCCCTCGCGCGGACGTCAATCCTTACAACATTGGAGCTTGAAAAAGGAACATCTGTCAACAGAATCTGCGAGCTAGAACTGGTGCAGGCAATAGGACAGCCTCTAGCCCACGCAGCCTGTTGCCCGTGGGCCGCTGGACATTACTACGGCAATCCCGCGCATGGGCGGCAGCTGCTTCGGCGAAACGCGATTCGGCCAACGCGCTGTTGGCCGAGAGACGCGCTGCTCCAGGTTCAAGAGGAAGAAGAAGAAAGAAACGCCATAAGCATGAACTTCTGGCGCTCCGCGCGGATTTCTTGGAAGCTGTTGGCCGAGAGTCGCGCTGCTCCAGGTTCAAGAGGAAGAAGAAGAAAGAAACGCCATAAGCATGAACTTCTGGCGCTCCGCGCGGATTTCTTGGAACCGCGCTGACGCCGCCGGCGCCGCCCCCGGCGCGCTCCGCGCGCCAGGGAGGGGGGTCCAGCGCAGGTCCAAGAAATCCGCGCGGATTTTTTCTTCTTGTAGGTTCGGCGACCGGTAGGCTTTTCACTCAGAAGTACGTGCCGCCCAAATCACGACCAGCGTCGGGTGCTGCCGAGAGGCCTCGGGAGGCGTCGACCGAAGTGTTCGGGGCCCTCAATAATCAGTGCGGTGACCGCACCCTGTGGTGAGTCGGTGGGGATTCGGGTTGACCTCACGGTGTTGAGATTCGTCTTTTTCTCTGAGGACATCCCTGGCCATTGGGGCCTCTAGGGTCTCATAACCGTGCGGTGACGGACCGTGCGGCGAGGTTTTTGGGGACCGGCCCACGGTTTTGGTGTCAGTTTCGCAGTCCGTACGTCGATGTTTGGTTGCAGTATGGCGTCAGGAGTGGCACGGACATAATTGAGTTGTCGTGTTGGTACCATCGTTGTTTCTTGAAGTATGCGCAAGCACGGTTTCTTGATGTTGGGTTGTGGCTTCGGTTCTCCATGTCGCCAACCCGTTCACCTTGCACCGCTCCTCATTCTTTTGTCTGTCTTCCTGACCGCCACTGGAGGGGCTCGATGTATGTACCACGTCGTTTGGTCGGCCAAGGGCCAAGGAGTTCGGCGAAGGATTTCGCACCCCACCGCCTCGGAAAGTAGGGCGTCTGTACACCGAGCTCTTGGGCTGCCCAGGCGGCTCGGTGTCTATTTCGACCCCATCCCACGTCATTCCTCGTTGCGTGATATCCGGCCCCGAACCAAGTCTCCGGGTCGGTTTTGGAGGACGCCGTGGCGATCGCGGCGGCAACAAGTCGGGGCAAGGTGTTTGTCAAGGAGTGGCATCACCCGCAGTGCGTTGTAGACGTGGTTCATAATCAACAGGATAGCGATGTAGAGTCGACAATCTAGGCCCAACATGGACAGTCGCGTTTTTATGGTCAGGGCCTGGTTATCACGCAACCAATTGCGTGTGTCGGCCTTTCCGCCCCTCTCCTGCAAAATCGGCCCCCGCTCCTCTCGCTCATCCGCCTGTGAAGGACCCTTCGGTCTTGTTCAACGACTACATTAGCCCTCATTTCAAGGAGCTCGCGGACGGCGACGAGGCCGCGCGGTGCCTGCACTCCCCTGGGGCCTTCTGCGGCGCGGCGGGGACACGGGCGCGGCCATTCAAGGCTGAAGTGCCACCGCCAGGCCAACTTTTAGCTGACTCCATTATCGGATAGCCGCTAGCCGATAGCCGCATTGGTCCTGGCATAGAACGGCCGTCATGGGGCTGGGAGGGAAAAGGGGCCGGTACCGTCACGATTCGCGCCAGCGCCGTATGGGAACTAGCTGCTTTTAGCCGTTGCCAGACGGCGCTGGCGCAAAGCGTGACATTCCTGGGGGCGGGGTTGCCGTTTAGGTGTTCATAAGTAGATGTTGCCGTCTAGGTTGTGCATTCTACGCCGCGCAATAAATTGTGAGCAGAATGCGTGGTGCAAGATATGTTGTGCAATCCATCTGGTGCAATACATGCTGTGCAACCTACGTGGAACAATATATGATGTGCAGTCTGTGTGGGGCAATTAGTGCTGATGTGCGTGGTGCGCTCTATGTCGTGCAAACGCTGTGGAGCAACCTGTGCAACTCACCCTGCCGAACTTGAAGTTGACAATTCCACTTCTCGCGCAATCACCTCACCCACCCACCCGCAACTTGGTGTTTTCAAACCCCATGCGGCGGCGATAGTGATGAGCGCATGGTGTTGGCTAGTGCATCTCTGCGGCCGTGCTAGCCCGCGCATGCTCAAGCGCGCAGCGGCCAGCTAGTTTGGCGCGGTCGACGCGGCCGCGGTACGCTGACCGCTGGGCATTTTCCCGCGGGCACTTCAGTGCGAGTCGGCGACTTGGGCGGGCGCGGTATCCCTGCATCGCCAACAACGGTAGACACGGTGATGATGATAGCGATATTGGTGGTGAGATTGGCAATGACGACGACAAGGCCAGTGAGGGCACCGATGCCGATCACGGCGAGGACGGTGACAGCGTTTTCGCGTCGGTGATGAAGGTTTTAAATGAAGTTCGGCATGCGCGCGCGGCCGTCGCGCGGGAGCGGCCTGCGTGTTTGTATGTGACATGGATCCCGCCCCCCATTTCCCGAGCATGCGCACAAGGGCGTTCGAATGATTCCGACATGCGGCGCGAGCGGCCCGTTTGCTGCACCGCATGCTAATGTTGAAAAGCCGTCAGAGGTTGCACGGGCGAGAGCGCAGGCATTTGAGAAACTTTGCTTTGCGAAAGCAGTTGGGATCTCGGCATACGCGTGCGACGACGCCTGTTCGTGCATCCCGCCCCGGCTTTTACACATATTCGTGCGACAGCACTCACGCAAGGGCTTTCGAACGATTCCGACACGCGCGCGCGAAAGGTCTTTTTGGTAGCATGTTATAAAACAATGTTGAGCACAGGTGGTGTTTTGAAGCGCGTGCAAGGGCCTGGAAGCAAGCTGTTTGTGGGCATCCGTGCTGCGAAGCCGTATGTTTGAAATTGTCGGCACGCTGGATGTTTTAATGCTTGCGCAATTCAAGGTTTAGAACGATTTGTCATGCGCGCGACGACGGTTGCGTGCGCACTTCGCCCCACTTGTGCATCGGGTTATCGGGACTTGATGGCTTTTGATGAACGGCTGCGCGCACATTCGGATTTTCAGCAGAGGATTCGTGGGGGTCACCAGCCTGCCCGGGATGCTACGGGATCACATATCGAATGAACGACGTAACAGAATCGTATGCAATATGCAACCCCAAAGTGGAGCACCGTTAATTCAGGGGGGGAGATCCGAATACTTTCTTGGTAGTAAAGAGGCACTATGTTGTGCAATCGACGTTGTGCAATCTATGTGGTGCTATTGGTTTCAACAAGCGAGTTGGCACATCGCACGCTCTTGCGAACACCTGACCCACCCATCTGCAAGTTGGTTTTCGAAACCCGTAAGGTGGCGATTGCGATGCATGCTTTGCGTTGGCTGGTGCATCTTTGCGGCCACACCAACCCAAGCACGCGCGCGCAGCGGCCAGCTAGTTTGGCGCGACTGACGCGGCCGCGGTGGCGCCGACCGCTCGGCACATCCCAGCGGGCACATCAATGCGAGTCGTCGACTTGGGCGGGTGCGGCATCATGGCGACGTCGACAGGGTAGACACGATGATGATCCTAGCGATGCTGGTGACGATGGTGACTTCGACGACGGGGCAGCCAGCGACGGCGCCGATGCCGATCACGCCGAAGACGATGATGGCGTCTTCGCGTTGGCGGTGCAGTTGTTGGAAGGAGTTCGAAATGCTCGCGCAGCAGGCGCGCGAGAGTGGCCCGCATGGTATTATTCGACACGCGTCGTGCCATCCAGCACGCGCGCAAGGGCGTTCGAACGATTTCGACCGCGCGCGCGTGAAATTCGTTTGGTAGCATGTGATGATGAGCATGCTGAGGAAACGAAAACACGTACGTGTTTGTATGCACGATCGCTGGAGCGCGCGCGCAGCCTGTTTTTGAAATCCGTTTTGCGAAACCCCGTGTTTGTTACATGTCTTTTGGAACGTCGACTTTGGCATCCTTCGAAGCCGAACGTTTTTGAAGGATTGCGGCATGCGCGCGCGCTGACGAGCGCGTGCGCATTCCGTCCCGTTGTTGTGCAAACTGATTTTTTAATGGTATGGATTTTGAAGAAACGAGTGCGCGCGCATAATCGTTTTTTGAGGAGGATGGCGGAAAAAAAAGGGGTGTCGACACCGGATTGGCTGGGATGGTACGAGCTCATATTTCGGATGGGCGATGGTGCAGGACCATCTTAAGCATTGCAATGCGAAGAAAGGGGTGTCAATCCCGGGGGAGGGGGGGTGGGGTAGATTCGATTCCCTTTGTGGAACAAAATATATGTTTTGCCACGGGGCGGCGGCGACACGACGGGGCGGCGACGGCGACAGCATAGCCGCCAGACCGCCAGCCATGGCCAGACGACAGGCGGTGAGGTGGCGACGGGACTTCGAGGGCGACAACAGCCGTAACCTTCTCGTGCCCAACCATGAGAACCAACGAAATTTGAGTATCTTTCGATTCCGTGTCCTTGGGAGCCATTTGGAACGATTGGGGTCCGTGGGATTTTCGCGCAACACTATGGTATCCAGAAAACAGGCTAGATGGGATCATCGAGACGCTCGCCCTTTCGCAAGGGTCCTATGGGATCCATCGTCCCCACAAAATGTTGACACCAAGGGGGTCTTTCCCACCTTCTTAAAAGCTTGGTGCACGTCGGGGGCAGATTCCGATGCATTGTGACTTGTGTTTTCAAGTGTGTATTCGGGCATTGAACACATGTTTTTCTTTGACTGGGAATCGAGGGTCGACCAGAGACATCTCTGGCCTCGCTCTGCCTCCGAGCGCGCCTCGGCGGCGGCGCTGCCCACCCATTCCGCCACGGAGCGCGCCTCGGCGCGGCGCGGGCGTCCTGTCCCCTTCGAGGTTACAAGAACCTCTAACCCTAATAACGTGCTGAAGCCCATGCCAAGAAACACCCTGTTTGCCTTCAGGGTGCCCTGGGTTTCTTTGGTTTCGATGGTTTTGCGATGGAAGGTGTGACGTTCCCGCACCAAAAATCTGCTAAAAGGGTCGTTCGTTTTGGTTCCCCCCGCTTTTTCCACCCGGTGGTGGACGGTACTGGTCCTAAAACCTCCTCCTTCTCACAGTCGGAGCCGTAGTCGCAGCAGTAGTCGTCGTAGTCGCAGTCGCAGCTTTAGTCGTAGCAGTTGTCGTCGTGGTTTTGCGGCAGGTTTCGCGAACAAACAAATAGTTTCCACCTATTGATGGGACCCCAGTTCTTCAATGAGGATGCCGGACAAAATAATCCATTACCCCCTATTGGAGGCGGGGGGTTCTAAAGACCTTTCTCTGTTGTTCTACTTCACCAAGGAACAATGAAGTCTACCCCCCCCCAACACCTCGGGGTGATCGATACCAGATGGAGCAGTGCAACATGCACACAGTTATGCCCATCGCCATCGTTCGTTTCCCACACGATGGTCGATGGAGGAGGCATTTTGAATTTTGGGCTCAACAAGAAATTCTTTCAGTTCTCCGATATTGCATTGTTGATACGGCTTGTCGGGTATGGCCAGGACCCCGGGTAAGGGGCCCGGTTAGTGGTAGGGCCCCGGAGTTTGTGAATTGGCCAGAATCACTAAACCAGGTTTGCCATAGTTTGTGTTTGTTTCGGGTGACGGCAGTTCCGGTTAGTCGAAATGCGACGGGGGGGCGCCCCCAGTACAGATCTTTAAACAAGGTCCCACTAAACCCAGTTCTACCAACGCCCGAGCTTGGTTCTTTGCTGAGTCATTCGCCTCGTCCGACTTTGCAGCCCCATTTTCTGGACTCCCAGCAGTTGACGTCTCACATTGATCGCCCCTTCTCCGAACACCACTCGCTCTGTCTATGGTCTCCTGCGTTCTCCCGGTTCCCGTGCACCAGGCGCTTGGGAACATCGTCGCCATCGGTGACACGATGAAGATAAAGGACATGGAGTTCCAGGTTCTTCTTCCGCCTATTCGCCGTCGTCGTCGTCCTCGTCGCGATATTTGGACAGCTGTTGCATCGTGGAGCCCCCTTCCTATCGATTGGACGGCTTGCAGCAACGCTCATCCTAATGTGGCTCTCGTGTTCGGACCTCTGGGCCGTTTTTCCCAAATCCTGACGCTTTGCGTACCCCCACCGGCTTCCACTCGCCGGCCCGCCGCTGAGGTGTTGCGTGAGGCTTTGGCCCACCGCTTTAGGTTAATTCGTCTTTGCGCGCTCCGCTCTGACTGGACTCGCCGTGGCGCGCTCGCCTGCGGCCGCTGACAAAGAAGTACCCCCACCAGCCCTCTCTCTCTCGTTCCGTTCGTCGTTCTTCCGTTTTCCTCTTCGCCGTCTTCGCTCTCGTTTTCGCCGCTCTTGACGCTGCCGCAGCGTAGTGTAATGGCCCCTTTTTTTCCCGCGCCTGGCCGGCGACAGTTGCGCTGTGACTTCCGGCTTCCGTTCTTAGCGCGACTTTTCCGACGCCGCGCGGGTGCCTGCTAGCGGTCGCGACCAAACAAAGAAAACCCACCAGCCCATCCAACAACACATCGCCAGGCGAGTTACCTTGATCAGGGAAGTGTGGAAGAGTGCAGTGTCACAATTGCCTTGGGCGTTTTTTTTCCCCCCCCAACCCTCCTGCGTTGGGTACTCGTTTTGAATAGAGCACTGCGGTCTCCACCTCATTCCTTCCTTCCTTCCTTCCTTCCTTCTTTCCTTCCTTCCCGCCTCCTCCCGCCTCCTCCTCTCTTCTCTTTGTGGGCTGCGATCTGCGAAACTGTCGTCACTTTCGAGGGCTGCTGGGGGGCCCAGCGGAGTGACGCCCTACGGGGATTCAGATTAGACCTCGCCATCCCTGGGGGGCTGCGATCTGTGAAACCGTCGCCACTTTCGAGGCTGTTGGGGGGCCCAGCGGAGTGACGCCCTACGGGGATTCAGATTAGACCTCGCCGTTCCTGGGGGGCTGCGATATGTGAAACTGTCGCCACTTTCGAGGCCTGCTGGGGGGCCCAGCGGAGTGACGCCCTACGGGGATTCAGATTAGACCTCGCCATCCCTGGGGGGCTGCGATCTGTGAAACTGTCGTCACTTTCGAGGCTGTTGGGGGGCCCAGCGGAGTGACGCCCTACGGGGATTCAGACTAGACCTCGCCATCCCTGGGGGGCTGCGATCTGTGAAACTGTCGCCACTTTCGAGGGCTGCTGGGGGGCCCAGCGGAGTGACCCACGGGGACTCAGATTAGACCTCGCCATCCCTGGGGGGCTGCGATCTGTGAAACTGTCGCCACTTTCGAGGGCTGCTGGGGGGCCCAGCGGAGTGACGCCCTACGGGGATTCAGATTAGACCTCGCCATCCCTGGGGGGCTGCGATCTGTGAAACTGTCGCCACTTTCGAGGGCTGCTGGGGGGCCCAGCGGAGTGACGCCCTACGGGGATTCAGATTAGACCTCGCCATCCCTGGGGGGCTGCGATCTGTGAAACTGTCGCCACTTTCGAAGGCTGCGTGGGGGGCCCAGCGGAGTGACGCCCTACGGGGATACAGATTAGACCTCGCCATCCCTGGGGGGCTGCGATCTGTGAAACTGTCGCCACTTTCGAAGGCTGCTGGGGGGCCAGCGGAGTGACGTCCTACGGGGACTCAGATTAGACCTCGCCAGCGCTGGGGGGCTACGATCTGTGAAACTGTCGCCACTTTCGAGGGCTGCTGTGGGGCCCATGAAACTGTCGCCACTTTCGAGACCTGCTGCGGGGTCCAGCATAGTGACGTCCTACGCGGACGCAGATTGGACCCGTCATTCTACTTCGATTATCCCGCATCTGCGATCGACTGTATGTGTGCGAGGAACTAGACATGGAGTGGTCTGGCACTGACTGACGTCAAATCGTTGTGTGCCAGTGTCTCCTGGGGTGTTGCCTGATGTGGATGCAGCTCGTCGGCGCTGCGACTCGAGCTGGCGGTCGTCCTTCGGACCCGCAGAAACATCTGCTGAGCTCGATGAGCTAGGGGAACTACAGGAAAGAAGTGCAGGAAACGGAGGCCGGTCATGCACTCGCCGATACCTCGTTGCTCTGTCATCGTCTTTGCTGTTGCATGATCCTTATCTGGCCTGCCGGCGCCGCGGCTCGAGCTGGCGGTCGCCCTTCGGGCCCGCGGGAACATCTTCTGAGACAAGTGGACGCCGCCGCCTTACTTGCAGGCAGCGCATTGCATTCGCGGACAGCAGCATGGCAGACCGCAGTGAGATCCTCAGTCGCGTGGTGTTGCCAAGCCTGGTGGAGACGCGCGTGATCGACCTGAAGTCCCAATCGCGCGTGCACTGTACCTGCGTGGCGTTCAGGCACGCGCGTGATGCTGCTCGCTCCGCGTTCAACCAGTACGTCGCCAGTGCAACTTTGGACGATGGACAACCGATTGATGATACGCGACCCCGGCCTTGAGTTTCTTTCCCGCGGGCCGCCCGCAGACATGGCGGCGCGCCTGCGAGCGTTCAGCTCCCGCGCTGAAATGTGCGGGAAGGAGGCGGATAAGCTAGCGGGCGAGCTACGCCTCGCTCGTTCCTTGCACTCTAAACAAGTTTTATCATGTGGAACTCTGCGACGACATGGCGCAGGCAGCGCTGCGGGTTTAGCTCGCACTTGAAAAACGCGGCAGTCTTCTGTCTCCTCCCGCCAGTTTCATCGTCGTCCTATTCCCCGCCTCACCTTCTCCATGCATGCTGCTGCTTCCGCGATGGCCTTTCGCCCCCCCCGCCATCCATTCCATCCCTCTCCTACCCCTCGTTCCCGTACCCGTTCTTCTTCGATCCTGGGGCCTCAAGCCTCGTCTTTTCGATCGTCGTCCTGTGAATCGTGCGACGCATGCGCGTCCCATGTAGCTTGCACAGCAAATCGCCGCGTCTACACTGTCGTTGTTCCTGCTAATGTTGGCATGCTCCTCTTGCCATCTGATGCACGTGGATTGGGTACGTCGCAGGGTATTTTTTCTCGGAGGTCTCTTGGAGCCATCTTGGGGTTCTCTCGGGGTCCTCGCGGATCCTCCCTGGGCATCTTTGAGCCCTCCTGGGGCTTTCTGGGGGCCTTCTTGGGGCCGTCTTGAGTCTCGTTCCGGGGGGTCTGGGAGGTTCCGTGGGGTCATCTGTGTTTCCATGGCTCAACAAGAAGAGGGGGGGGGGAAATTCAGTTCCACCGCTGGGGGCGCTCTTAGTGCCCTCTCGGGCCTTCTTGGGGCCCCTTTTTGGGCTCTGTTGGGCCGTCTTGGGGCCATCGCAATGCCTCAAGAGCTGAGTACGTGCATACACGTTGAGAAATTTCGTCAGAAAGTGGCCGCTTCGAGGGTGTTTTTTTTCCACGTTTTTTTGATAGCCTAGCGTTGGGGCCTCAGAAGGAGAGAAGATCTCCTTGTTGCGCTGCGCCGTTTTCTTTTTTGTTTTTGTTTGTATTCAGCTGTAGTGTTTTTCTTTGTTGATTTCCAATGGTCGAGTAACGTTTCTTTTCTTTTTTTTGGAGGGGTCATACTTGTAAACGCAACCTCGTCGTTTTTTTTTCCTGTTGCTGGGCGGGGTGATTATCGTTTTTTTTTTGAAGGGGCCACCCCAAGGGCCGCGATCAGAGTTCGCGAAATTCCCTGGGCCCCACGAGGCCAAGTGGCAAAACAAAAAAAAACGACGGGACACCGAGAATGGGCACGGACATCTGACGAGGGGAGCGCAGAGAGAGCAAATAATCGCGCCTCGTGCGTCGCGGCCTTCCCAGTAGTGGCGAACGGCCAGCAGCGCGGCGAGCGTTCCCCCCCCCCTTCCTGGGAGGCGGGTGGGGAGGAGCAGGCGTTAGCCCAGCCGTCGTGCTTCTACTCTTCACTCTTCTGTTCCTCCTCCTCCTTTTCCTCCTCTTCCTCCTCTCGGGTCGGGCGAAAGGGGGGGATAGCAAAGGGGGGGTTTGAGAATCAGCTCACGTAGCTGATTTTCCAGGCGCCGGAGGCGGCTACGCATCGAGGAATGGGCCCCTCGGCGGGGCCGAAACCAGCTGCATGCAGCAAATTTCGTAACCCCCCCTTTCCCAATCCCCCCCTTTCGCCCGACCCGATCCTCCCCCTCCTCCTCTTCCTCCCCCTCCTCTTCGCTTTTCTTTTCCTCATCCTCTTCACTCTTCTTTTCCTCATCCTCCTCTTCCTCCTCCTCCTCCTCGCCCTTCTTTTCCTCGTCCTCATCCTCCTCCTCCTCCTCCTTCTTTTCCCCACCCTCATCCTCTCGGGGATGGACAGACCCCCCTTTAGTAAAACGTGGTTTAGTGAAAACGACCTGGGGCCCAAACCTGGCGGGCGCAAGCCTGGAAAATAACGGCCACGGTGCCCTCTCGAGAACCGAAAACGGACAATTCACTAATCGACGTGTCACTGTTGGGGGTTCTGTCCACCCCCGATCCTCGTCCTCCGGCCTCCGGCGGCAAGAGCGGCCCGCAAGTCGACGGCGCCAGCGACCCAACGACGGTCGACGATCGGAGGAGGAGGAGGAGGAGGAGGATGGGGAGGAGGAGGAGGAGGAGGAGGAAGAAGAGGAGGAAGAGGAGGAGGAGGAGGAGGAGGAGGAGGAGGAGGATTGAGATGGATGATCTCGCTCCAACGCTGGCGTACACGCGGCGTTCGTTCGCCGCAAGATCTGTTTCAGCATGCGAGGCCTCGCGCCTCTCCCGAGCGTGCGGTCAATTGCAACAGCATTAAATTGACCGCAATACGAAGCGTGCACACTGTGAGACTGTGAGCGCACCTACGCACATGACGCACATGCACACTTCCTCCTTCTCTTCTTCTACCTATCTCCTTCTTCTCCTCCCCTTCTCCTCCTCCTACTCCTCCTCCTACTCCTCCACTCGCGTCGTGCACGGGCGCAGGTGCTGGGCCCCACCTGGGGCCTACTTCAGAAGGTGCCTGCCGATTTTGCGCAGGATGCCCTCCTCCGAGTTCTCGAGCGCGGCCTTCCTCTCCCGCTCCTGCTTGCGCTCGAGCTTCAGCTTGTTCGCCGCCACCTGTCAGAGAGAGGGTTTAGAAGATGAGTTTTTGAAGAGCGAGGTTTGAGGAGGAGGGCGGAGGAGGAATAGGAGAAGGTAGGAGGAGAAGGTAGAGGGGAAGGTAGGAGCGAGGAGGAGAAGGGAGCAGAGGAGGAGGAGGAGGAGGAGGAGGAGGAGGAGGAGGGAGGAGGAGCGAGCGAGCGAGCGACCTCGGCCCCTCGGCAGCAGTTCGGCTTCGATGCGCGGGGCACCGGGCACGGCACGGGCCTGGGAAGATCGCCTGTCGGCGCCCTGCATTGCCGCTGGTAGTCACCACCCGCCAAACCACCCCAACCCAACCCGAAGGCTCAGATTTACCATCGATTTCTAGTGGGGGGGGTCCGGGAACATCGAAAAAACACATATGGAGCCCATGCCCCCCCCAACCCGAAATTCGGGTCTTCGGGTTGGGTTGGGGTGGCCTGGTAGGTAGTCAGGTAGGGAGGAGGAGGAGGAGAAGGAGGAGGAGGAAGGAGGAGGAGGAGGAGGACCACCTCGCAGGGTAAGTACGGGCGCTTCAGCTCGAACTCCTCGTTGCCGTCAGGATCCGCATAGAAGCTGCGATCGATGACCAGGTAGGTCAAGGTCACGCTGATGTCGGGGATCTTCTTGCTCCCATTGCAGCAGTCGTTCAGTGTAACGTCCACGTACTCGAACTTCATTGTAGGAGGATCCTCCTTGGCCTTCGTGTTCTCATCTGTGTCGTCATCAGTCGGCGTCCCCACGGCTCGAACCATCCATGCACAGGCTGGCGTCGGGGTGTTGGGGACGATGGTCGATTGCACTGGCATGACGAAGTAGCGATGAGTCTGGCAGTGATCGACAGGCCCTGCGTCAACGAAGATCTTGGATCCAAGAGACTGGCCATTCATACTTGCGGAGACCCGCCCCATGAAGAAGAACTTCACCGCGTCGGCCCCTTCAGGGCGGCAATACAAACGCGTGATCGGCTTTCCCATGGCGTCAGTCTTGACAGGCATCTTGTAGACGATGTTGTCCAACCCCTTGTCACTGTATTCACCTGATGTAAGTTGACAGAGCATCCAAGACTGAACAATGCTTGCATAGACTCCAGCGTTCCATTGAGCCAGCACGTGTGAGTCCAGCTGCGTGTTGAACTTGATCATGTTGGCGTCGCCAGCGTCGCCGCCGTCGCCTCCATCATCTGGAGCCTGGCCCTCCAAGGGCACGTCCACGCCGTCCGCGTCCACGCCATTAGTCAGCGACTCGAGGGCGCCGTTCTTCAACTTCTCCCACTCGTTAGCCAAGTTGTCCTCTGCCCTCTTCTCGCATACCAGCTTGTCTGCGACGAGCTCCTTCACGATATTGTCCTTCAGAGTCCTCTTGAGATCTTCCAGTGGTACGCCACGCTGGGCCGATAATAGCTCGCGAAGTTCCTCGACCTTCTGCCTGCTAATTGATGAGGTCCACTGTTTCTGCAGCTCCTCCCACTCATGATCGTCGCGTCTTTGCATCTGGCCAGAACTGAGCTGAGTACCCTTCTTCAAGACTCGAGTCCAGAATTGTATCCAATCATCGGCTTTGTTCTTGTTTGCGTCCAAAACGGCGATGTCTGCCAGGCTCGTCGTCAAGAGCTTCTCGCCGCACCTGCAAATATTGATAAGTGACTCCTTGTATGATGCAAAATCTTCAAAATCAGTGATATTGAACTCCTTGTCCGCTACGAGCTCAAGCAACTCCGTCATGCAGTGCTTCATGTACAGGGTTCGGAACTGCAGGTGCGCCTCAAGGCTTTCGCAGTCATCCCACAGATCCTTGAGCCCGGATGCCTTCGGGCCGAAAGACTTGTACCAGTCGGGCCTCCTCCAATCCTCTCTTCCGACCTCTCTGTAGACATTGTACGCGAGCTGGATCGTCTCTGGAGGTACCTCCTCGAAGATCTTCAACTGCAGCGTGGGCACGATGATGTCCGTCATGGCGGATTCAGCACTTTCAGATCTTACAGAAAGCTTATGCGGCATCTCCCTCCAAAGGAACACTCTGATACGGTTGAGGGCATCGTGCGATTTCAAAGCCATCTGGATCGCCCCTTTTGGTGGATTCTCCTTCAAGAAGACCGCCGTCCGACTTGCTACCCGTGGGAATTTCTGAAGGACCCCGACCACATTGAGAGTCGATCCGCTGTCATCTCCACCTTGGACGGGAAGCTCAGCTTCTTCTTGTTCGACATCTGCATCTTCATCACCTTGTAAATCTGGATCTTCCTCAGCCTCAGCTTTGTCACCGTCGCGTTCATAGCCAGAGTGGTGATCGACAAGTTTCTTCTTAATCACTTTTCGTAGCGCAGTCCATGACGTGAACCTCTTATGCTTGGTAGTTGGGGCCTTGCCGATATCAAGAACGATCCCCTGGGTCTTATCACTGAGTGCGAATGTCAAGCACCACTCCAAAGCTTTGTCGACGAACTCCTCGTCTGGTGCTTTGACTCCCTGGATGCCTACTTTGATTGACGTGAGCATATCATCCAGCAAGAACGCAGTCCTGACGCCGCCGTCCTTGTCCATGACCGTCGCTGATATCTGCTCTGACGCCTTGGGCTGCTTAGACTTGGCCCTCTTCTTTTGGTTATCTGCATTCTCCTGCTTCCTCGTCGCAAACACTGCGCTGTTCGTCTGCTGGGAGGGGGCGATGCTGAGCTGGAACGTCTTCGTCTCTCTCAATGGGAGCAGGAGGCACGGCAGGACCTTTGCATGGGCAGCGTCACGCAGAAGCCACGGCTTGCCATCAGTCGTCGGGACAGCCAACTTCAGAAGAGGCAGACACGCTGACCATAACGATTCATGGTCTATCAAAAGCTTGCACACCTCATTGTTGATAAACAAAACTTTTCGGCCGTGGAAGCCTTGATCTGTATATTTGCAGAACGTGCGGCAGTAGGTCTTGTAGTCGTCCCACACACCCATTGTCTTCATCTTCTTTATACCCTCCTTCGCGTCGCAGTAAGGCTCGTACTTCGGAAACTTCAACGGGTAAGTCTGGGTGACGTACAAGCGGTATCGGGTTTCGACTGAAGGTACTTTCTTCTTATTATCGTCGTCACCTGTGACTGCCTCGATGTTCTCCTTCTTCTCCTGCTGCTCCTTCTTCTGCTTCTTTCGCTCCTGAGCCTCCTGTTTGCATTTGGCTTCCCAGTTCTTTGAAATCATCTGCGCGTCATTGTACATCTCGATGTGACCGCGACAATTCCCCTGGCGATTCCTTTCGTTCTGCAGGTCAATGTAGTGGCGAGAGACGTCGTCAGGCGTCCTGCTGTCGAATATACACACATTGGGCATCCCCATAGATTTCGTAAACTGCACCTGCACATTGTCAGGGGCCTCTTCGAAAGCTTGATATGCTGCTTCCATCAGAGTCGCCCCTGCTAGGAAGTAAGCCTGAGGTTCGTTGTTCACGACCTTGATGATCGCAATGCACTCGGACCTGCCGCCCTCGATGACGCCGTCTCGCTTGATGTCCTCGCAATACGTGTCTCTAGTATCTTTCTCGCTCCTATCATTCAGCGGATGCCTCCACAACATCCGTTTGCCACTTGGGAGGAAGAACGGCAGATTATATTGTCCAGGGCGGCCGTAGGTCTCGCGCAGCTTCCTGTTCAAGACGGCGCCCTTGGCCGTCGGGTAGCGGATCGTGACAGACTCCACTGTGTTGTCGAAGCGGTCGTAGGGGGACCCAGCATCCTTCAGGAACGACTCGAGCTCCTTCTTGTCCCCTGCGCCGGGATCAGACGAGACCATGGCGATAATCTGACTAGCGCTCAAGATGCCATCGGCCGAGCTTGCCCTGGCCTCACCACCTAGGGGGCATGCTACAAACATGTGGGACAGGACACAGGACGAGGAGAGGAGGAGGAGGAGGAGAAGAGGAGAAGGAGGAGGAGGAGGAGGAGGAGGAGAAGGCCCAGGAGGAGGAGGAGTTCGTTTGCAAGGCGTCGCCACCAAGGCCACGAGGCGAGCGGGATCGAGAACATGAGCGCTTCCCGCGGCTCGGCGATGCACCATCTTCGCTCATCTGGAAGACTGGGCTGATGTACAGTAGGAGGCCCGGAGAACAAAACTAAAACGGTGTAAGCTAAAACAGCTGCCAGCACCAGAACGGACCACGAACCTTCAACAAGTATCCCCCAACTCAACCTAGCTCACACATCACTTAGCTGCGCGACGCGCGATCATCATGGCGCCCCCGCCGGATCGCCAACCCCTGGAGAAGAGCTGTCTTTGACCCATGTCGCGAGCAACGACGCGCGATCACCTTCGCGCCTTGGACGTTGTCCTTCTCAGTCAAGAGGTGTGCCGCAGCAACGCTAAGTAAGGGGGAACATGGGGATGCGACAACAGTTTTAATGTTCACTGTCGGGCAGTGGTCTTCTCAAGCTATGCTCCGACCTCTCCCTGCGATCGAGCTCCTACGAGATGTGTTGCACACCTCTGAACTAAACATGGGAATTAGGTTGCCTTGCTTTTGCTAGGCTCATCCGACATGCAAACGGTTTCGAAATAACCTGTCAGGAAACGGTTGTGTTCTAAAAACAATCGTGTCTGTTACCCCTGGAATCCCTGGAATCAAAAACACATGATCCTGGAGTGCCTACGATACACCTACGACCTACGACTGCTGGCCCTTACTCACGCCTCACCCGCTTGCTCTTCACCAGCACCTGGAACGCTTGAGAAAAGGCACTGGCCGGGGGCCGCTTGGGCTTCCTGTTGCGAGGCGATCCTGGCGATGAAGACGAAAACTCCATGATTGGCGCGTGGGTGCCGAGGTTCGGAAGCAGCGCGATGATCATCAGAGTGCAACCACCCACAGCATTCACATGCATGCTATTGCCAATCGCTGTCGTCTGAGACCTGATAGTGCGGCAACCTGGAGCATGGACACCTCGAGAAAAGGTATGATTGGACAGAGTGATGGCTTGGTGCTCCGCCGTGATTGGGAAGCCCATCGAGGTTGCCAGCTCTGAAGGCACCAGTGGACGATGAGAGTCGTGGTGCCAGAGGACGCCAGTGCTCTTGATGATCGTGTTCAGAATGCCGTTGGTCGAATGGATAGGCCTGTTAAGCGGGTTCTGGTTGAGGTCGCCAGTTTCGCGAGGCCACAATGCATAGTAGTCTTCCCGACGCCTCATCTCAGACTTGGTAAGCGCGGTATCGAAAGTGAACTGCTGAGGCCTGTCAAGCCCATCGTCTTCATAACGTTTGTGTACGTACTTGCGACCCTTCATCCAAGTGAGGTACTGGTCCAGCTCCGACTGGCATGCAATCATGAAGTCCGTGAGCGTGTATCCTGGGAGCATCTTCCTGGACAGGAACCTCTGTAGGTTGTTGCAGAAGTTCAGCTTCTCGATGACATAGGCGTCCACAGAAGTAACATGTGTGGGGATCTGCTCAACGATCCAAGACTTCAGGACCAACACGCAGTACTGTCTTGGTCGATGTGCGGGCCAGCCAAGCGTCGCGGGGTCAACGACTGCACGAATTACAACGTAAAGGTCTGACATCAGCTCCCGGAGCTCAGCGTCCCCGAACTTCAAAACGTTTTCGTGCAAGATCACCTTCGGCCTCTGCCAGCGCATCAGACTGACCCAGCTGTAAAACACTTTGGATTGAGGACCATCTTTGTGACGTTGCTTCCCCATAGACGAGTCGTCCAAGCATGGGGAACCCGCCACGTGGAAGTCGCTGGTGGGAATCTTGCAGAAGTTACCGCACTTCACGCACCACGCCTTGGGAAGAGGCTGACACTTTGGAATCAGATTCTTCAGCTCCTGCGCGGATAGCTCAGTGCCCTTGTGCTTGCCGCATTTGATTTGAATGTGCCTCGGCATGAAGTCGATGATGTCGGCAAATAAGTGGTCTGGAGCGCAGTGTGGGGAGTTGAGCAATTCCTCTTGACACTTCGCACTCTTCTCGATTGCGTACGCCTGCATGAACTTAGTACCACTGCATTCACGACCACAAGATCCCATCAGCCGCTTCTGGATGGTATTCGATATGATTGATTCTGCCAGCTCAGGGGCCCCAATTCCAGAAAAGGCCGAGCTGGCCCTGATCACACGGTTGCCGAAGAGGTTCTTAAACCGAGCAGTGTCGAGCCCACCGTCCGCGTCCAGCCGTGCAAAGGCGTGGTTCGCCCAGTCGAATGACTCATTGAGAGATCGGACTTGCTGGCGCTCTTCCCCTCTGCACTCGCCATGTATATCTGTGATTGCGGGCCACGCCATAGTGCGCAGGCGGCCCTGACAAAACCAAACAAATGTCCTGGTCAAACCGACCTCAATCCATACAATGGCAACGGTCAACGCACAATGTGTTACACCCCTGGGTGTGGGTCAGCCCCCGACGCGACACATCCAAGATTTGGGGGGCACCCTCACAACGCATCACCTCCCAAAAGAGGAGGATAAGGAGGGGGATGAAGAGTAGCAGCAACAGCAGCAGCAGCAGGCGGATGTGAGAGGCGGACGAGAGCAAGGATGAGGCCGGGGAGGGTACCCCCAAGGTTGGGGGGAGACCCCAACTTGGCACCCCCTCAAGGTTGGGGGGGGGCCCCCACCATGGCACCTCCCAAGTTTGGGGGGAAACCCCAACATGCCCCCCCAAGGTTGGGGGGAGCCCCCAACCTGGCAACCCCCAAGATTGGGGGGGGGGCCCAACCTGGCTTCCCCAAGGTTGGGGGGGGGGCCCAACGTGACCACCCCCCATGGTTGGGGGGAGCCCCCAACCTGGCGCCCCTCAGGGTTTGGGGCGGTGCCCAACCTGGCCCCCCCAAGGTTGGGGGGAGACCCCAACTTGGCACCCCCTTAAGGTTGGGGGGGGCCCCCAACATGGCACCCCCCAATATTGGGGGGGAGCCCCCAACATGGCACCCCCAAGGTTGGGGGGTAGCCCCCAACATGCCCCCCCCCCCCCCAAGGTTG